TTTTTTAATTTTATTATAATTAATAATATAATAATATATAAATATAATATTAATATATATATATATAAAAAAATTTAGAAAAGTTTGGGGGAGCCGTGGCTCCCCCCTGTCCCTATGAAGATCCGCCCCTGCATACTTTTGTTCTACATAAAATAATTTTTTTTTTCATAACTAGTATATAATCATATACTTGCTTATTTAGTTCAAATTATTTGGAGTTCTAATTCATCGTTTAACTTAAAAATTGTTAATGTTATTACCATTAAGTTTTGTAGGTATTCTAGCGAAATGAACAGTGATCTTCGTGCTCTAATATCAGCAATGATGGTAAGTGTAAAAATACTTTGATACTCAAGTTAAAGGGAGAGTTTAGAGGTAAAATATTAGTTAGGATTAAAGTAATATCTTGTGCCCCTTAAATAAGTGTTTAATTCTTATAAGTAGATTTAAGATTATTCAAAATAGGTGAGTATTTTATCCATTAATGATATAATATTGCATATTTAATGGAGATATCTTCTTATCAATCAAGAGAAAAGAATGTTTCTAATCCGAGATCTTTAGTAAATAATTATGTGAAAACATTTCGTTAGCCATTAAGAACTAATCATGAACTATACACCTAGCATGAATTGACAAGACGACAACTCAATTTGTTTGAACTAAATAGTACAATTATTTTTGTTATCATTCTTATTATAATTTATGTTGTCAATTATTAGTTTGTTCTTGTATTATCTATATATATATATATTAATATTTTTATTCAAACAATTCAAGAATTAATAAATAATAAAAAGTATAGTCCTTTATATTGTCAAATATAATTTATTATAAGTAGTTCAATCTCAATGTTAGCATTCTCTTAGAACAAAAGGCAAACACCTTTTTTTTATAAAAAAAATACATTTCACTATATAACGTTTTACTTTTAGGGTAAAACTCTATAACAAATTAACTAAAACGATTATTATTTTAGAGTTCGTATTTAAGGATTAATATTTACAATTTCTTTTAAAATGAATACCTTCTTCAACGTGTAGATTTTTTCTATATAAAAAAAAATACACATTTCATTTTTAAAGTTTATGGTAAAAATTTATATTATTGGAAAGATCCACTAAAGGATTTTAATTTAGAAGGTTTTTATTTTAAGGATTAATTTTAAATTCATAAAGTCTAGAGTTAGTATAAAATATTTTAATATTTTAATATCTTAAAATTATTTTTACTATAACTTCTTTTATCTTTAATATTAGGGTGATCTAATTAACAAAACCATTTAAAAAATATTTTTTACTTCATAAAAAAAAATGCTTCTAAGATCATTTCCACCAAATCATATCCACAAAAGAGGTAGATATATTTCATAAATGAACAAGTTTTATGAAAATTGGATATAATTATAAATTAATAGTTCGTTGTCTTACTAAAATTTAATTTTTAGAAAATATTTCATATACCTTTTCATATAAACTAGTAGAGAAATGGGTTTTTTTGTGCCTCTCTATTTTTTGTTTTTTTATGTATTAAAATAGTTATAGTTGTAGATACCCAATTTTGCTCGGGGCATACAATTAGCAAAATAAGACATCAAAGGGCCCAAATCAACTCTTTTTAGTGGCCCGGAACGGGCCGTTCCCAAGTCCGGAACGGGCAGTTCTGGAATTGGAACGGACCGTTCCGAGACTCCTAAAAGGCCTAAAAAAGTTAGGTTGGAACGGGCCGTTCTACGTCAGAACGGGCCGTTCTGGTTCTACAGAACGGGCCGTTCTAAGGTAAAAATATAACACGTAACGGCCAGATCCAGAACGGGCCGTTCTGATTTCGGAACGGGCCATTCTGGACCCCTGCTGAAGGCTATAAATAGGCGGCTTGTGCTCATTTCTAAAGGACCTCCAAAATTTCGTCCAAAGCTCCCCTAACACTGTTAAATGTAAAGTTTTCTTACACTGACAATTAATTATATTTTTTAATTGTATCATGTCACTGTTAAAAGTAAATGTATTTATAGTGATATGACATAATTAAAAGATATAATTGGTTGTTAGTGTAAAAAAACTTTACACTAATAATGTATAGATGATTAACTTTTATTTTAAAGCGAGAAGATAAAAGAGTTAAAGATCATCGACAAAGTTTTTAAGTCAGTTACTTTTAACAATATTACGTTCGGTCTTTTCTAAATTATATCCCATTAGGATTTTTACTATCTCAAAATTAATACAAATATTCTTTTTAAGAAGTTTCTTTAGGCTCCACAACGAGTATGCATTATCTTGCTTTTATTATAATGACAAATACATAAGATTAAGTACAAATATTTTTGAAAAAAATGGTACTAGAAAGGTTTTAAAAAAAAACATACAAGATGACAAAAAAAATACTTTTCACATTTAGGTTCATCTCTTCTTCTTCTTCAAACTTTTGGTCTATTTTATAATCATCATAAAAGGTGGTTATTGTAAGACTATTATGTCATCACAAAGCTTTTTTAATC